GCTGAACATGAAATCGGGCGCAATTTCATAAATTTATGACAAATTTGGAATCTATAGATTCAAAGATTACTTGTTTATTTGGGTCTGAAATGATGGATTTTCTTTGTGGCTGTAATTACCGCTGTCGCTGTTTTCCTTCTTTTCTTCGTCGTTTGACACGGCCTCCACTGCACAAAACAACACAAACGTAATGCAAATTACAAGAAGAGCCCGGGCACTGGGCAACATCGCCAACATCTGCAAAGAAGTACTTTTCAATCGCCCATTTACATATATTTTTTCCCTCCAACACGTACGAATTTGGAGCCAATATGTTCATGTTCATTAGATCTTAGGCTTTCCAGATCAACCCCTACATACGCATGTTTAAACGACTGGGCCGCTTGAAGTGATGACTATGTTTTGGCCGCGCGGTGAATGTTAGTCACGGCTTTTTTCAAGTTTGACGACTTCGAAGCCCTATTTACAATTAATTTATTCATGTTTTTCTCGTTGGTATGTTCCCACCAATAACGTAGCTCCATTGTCTGCCTTTAAAAACACACACAACCCACAATTCCTCTATTCGCTCCGACGAAGGGCTAACGCTCGAAACGTCAGCTTTTGTAATCGTTACGGGAGCCAATTTACCATTTCAACTTTGTTGATATATCCAAATTATTTCGTTACTCCCACCGACGCAGCCCCAAACAGTTTCTTTCGAAACTATCAGCCTTTATCAATTTTCATGGTTTATTTTTCACTTTCCCAAAGTATTTTGCGACTTCTAGATAGAGTAATAAATATATATCGTAAATCTTACCGTACATTTAGATAAAGTGATCGTTAACTTTGTCTATTTTTGCTTTTCGCTAAAAATTAGCAATTTCCACAATGATTTTGTGTCACTCTTGTGGGGCTTGGCAACGAAAAACAAAATTAGAGGTAAATGTCACGTAATTTTTTGGAATCGGAGTTTCTCAGCTTTATCAATCTGATTTATTTTTTCTGCGCCGAAGTCGACTATAGGATTTACCAAAGTTGTCTGAAATACCCTGATCTCTCTGTAGTTTTGATCTTATAACAATAAATCTTCGCTGGTGGAAATGTAGGTGTCAGTAGTTGTTAAATTATTTTTAAAATAGCAAGCAGAAAGAAAAAAACAAAATTAAAAAAAAAACCTCCTAAAACATTTCCGTTGAGTAAATGACGACCCCTTCCACGTTCTAAGCAGCAATTGGGAGGCATAATTCCAGGAAGTGTAAGAAAAGGTGTAGTTTTAATTCCGTCTTCACACAGATTGGAATTAAAAATACCCTCAAAAAATATTAAAAAAAACCGTTTCAAAGTCAACGTAAAGTGGAAAGATTTAAGACAGTAAGGGAATTCTGGTGCAAACATTTAACGTCAGAGGAAATTTCGCAACCTCAATTCCATGGCCTCTCTTTTTTCTCCCTCTCCCTACTCCTCTCTCTCCCCATTGAAAGAGAGAGAGGGAATAGAGAGAAGGAAAGACGAGAAATTCCTCCAGTGCCTCAGGATCAAAATGCAATTCGAAGAGAAAGACCAGGAAGTCTTAATAACAGAAGTGCTGCAATTTGACATGACCAGACGTCGTTCTCTGTTTCTTTCAAGCCAGCTTTAGCGAAGGAGATTTATTGAGACGACGTAGGTGTGTTGAAGCGTTTGATGTAAGTTACAGTTAACAGGAAAAGTCACACAATTTCATCAAAGGCCAACCCAGCTCAAGGAATTATAGCTGAGATTTAATTACAAAATTGCGAAGCGATTAATAAGACGATGAACCAACTTAAGATCTAAGATACCATGATCTTCGAGTCTTTTTATATGCATTACATAACTAATGTGTTGTGGGGAAAGGACCAACTTACAAAGAGACTACTCAAACTTAGTTACCTCTCTTCTGGAACTCAACTCGTCTTTAGGTAACACTCATGATCAACTCAAGCTGTAACTTTGTCTTTCGAGTCTTTCCTACTATACAGGCAGTCGAAGAAGTACGGTCACACATACAAATTAAAAATGTTGCCGCAAACTAAAAATATTACCTACAAATTAAAAATAACTCTGCAAATTAAAAAGGGTACATGTAAATTAAAAATTTTACATACAAACTAAAAATATTACCTACAAATTAAATATAGTACATTCAAATCTAAAATGGCACAGAAGAGTCACACATACAAATTAAAAATGTTGCTGCTGCAAATTAAAAATGAAAAGTCGTGCGCGCGCATCCGATAAGACCTGGTTCGAGGCGCACGACCTCGCCTTCAGCCTTCATCTATGTTTGGAGCGTGAAAGGAAGAGATTCTAGTTGAGCTTTTTTAATGATGTTCCACTCATTTTGTGGCAAAAAATGTGTGATAAATTACCATCCGCGTGCCAGCTGAAGTTTGGACTGTAACTGAGATATTTCCTCCGAGAAAGTCAGCGCCTTCTTCTCTCCTGCACTCCCACTGCGTCGACTTCCCGTAAAATAAATGCAACTAAGTGGCGAGGGACATGAATTAATAAATAAATAAATAAATAAATAAATAAATGATTTAGCAATGGACATCCACTGGGTGGCTATTCTTGTCCACTGTTCCAGATCGAATTGGAATTTGGAATGTTGGTTTTTGCGGAGGGAGGAAAGCCGGAGGATCCGGAGAAAAACCCTCAGAGAAAGGACGAGAACCAACAACAAACTCAACCCACATGAGACGCCAGGTCCTGGAATCGAACCCGGGCCACAGTGGTGGGAGGCGAGTGCTCTCACCACTGCGCCATCCCTGCTCCCCGTGAATGAATTTGATGAATTTGATGTACTAGCCTCAAAGAATGCCACACTGCTCTGTATCCTAGTGATTCACCAGAACCACTGATTTCATTCCTGATTATATCACTCAACTGGTCAACATGGACCTCGTTCCTCTTCTTTTCAACCCATAATCTCGCAGCCTGCGTTTAAGAGTACTTAAACTTATTTTAATACCGTGGTAGTCGACCAAGAATTGCAAAATAACCTCATTTTCATACCCAAGATGAAAGTACTTTTGGATTAGCGATCGTTCGTCGTCCTCCCTTGCAACATATCAGCGCTCTCCCCAGTATCTTATGGATGCCAATGCGCGCGCACGACTTTTCATTTTTTAATTTTTCACGTATTCTAAATTTTTTTCACATCTACTTTGCCACCTGCTTAGTTTAACAACTGATTCTGATAAGGAAATGTAGCGCATTCAAAATTAGAATATCTTACCATGGAAGAGGTCTCTTTCAAGAATCATTTTCAAATATGTAGGTTCTACTTCTATCATGCTTTGGATGGGTTAGGAGGAAGCTCAAGGTTTATTAATATGTCTGCACTACAGAGTCTGAAACTGCTGTAAGAGTCTCTGAAACTGCGCACCAACAGAAGTTTTTATTTTTAACAAAAAGGAAAGCAAACACATATAATTATAACCCTTTCATTTCTAAGAGTGACTAGTGTAGTGTATTGTACCAGAAGTGTGAAAAGGTTGTGTTTGTAGGCATCTCGTGATGCCTACCAAACTGAAGTTGTTCTTGTGGTACTCGTTGGCTGCCATGTGAATAGTGTGTGGGTTAAAGTATTGAAATCAAAGAATATCAAAGGTTTTTGTTGCCGTATATCCAAATATCACAACTAGCATCCAACTTCTCCCTATAAAAAATGTGAAGAGAACTGGAGAAAATAATTATATACCAATGTAAGGGTGTAAATGTCAATAGATTGCATGCCTGCACTTTAATATTGATTAATTGTAAACTTCAAGCTTCCTTAATATCTCATTGCAGTCATGACTGTACGCCTGAAGACGGTGTGCTCCAGGCTGAAAAAAACTAGTCATACACAGTGTGCAGTACATCAGTTTCATCGAAACTGACACCACGAACCATGGTTTGTATCCTCATGTAGCAAGTAGCAGATATGCGATTAAACTGATAGCTGGTACAAAGTTTCCTTCACTTCCATCGTTCCAAAGAAGGTGGCACACGAAGTAAAGGTCACGAGTAGGAGAGACGTGAAGAGAGACCCAGTGATTCGCAATAATAGCCACTATTTTGATCTTTCCACCTAGATGACACATGGTGTCTCCTATTGGGATCGAAAAAAGGGGGAGGCAAAAGTTACACACGCAGAATTTCACAAGAGATCATGAACAATAAATTCGGTTCGCCGCCACAAATAACTACAGAAAGCTCTGTAGCAACAAGCAAATGGCAATTGGTTCAAAATTTTCACATTCTAAACAACTTGTTAGGAATGTAAAAGTTTTGCTTTGCGATTCATCTCTCTCTGTAGTTCATTGATACATTTCTTCTTTAATTTTACCTCTATGGGCCGGGTGCCTCGTTTTCAGTCAGCCTGGCAACTATTATGCTTTTCACACTTCAAAGTTAAACTTGCGATATTTGGCCCCATCGTGCAAAATAAAATCTTGCTTATTTTTGCTCGTGATACATAATTTTCCGGCTGTCGTTAATTAGGCTAGAAGAGAAGCTATCATGTTCTTTTATTTCTTTTTTTGTCTTGTTTTGTTTAGTTTTGTTTTCGCCTTGTGCTCTAAATCTAGAGTTCTCCGCACAAGGATTGTTCGTCCTGAGAATGGAGGTGCAGTTGAAATCTTACAGCATTTGATTTTTGTGTCACAAAATAGGGGGCCTGAAGTGGATTATGGAGACGCCACGTATGTGGTTTCAACAATTTATATCTACAAAATCTGATGGAAGTTATCCCGGAAAGGTTTTATGCATATAATTATCTTTATGCTCTTAAAGCTTTTCTTCTCATCCGCGTCATAAGCAGCAGTATCTCCATCACCATAATTACTATCAATATCATCCTAATTGTTATCATTATTATCGTTGTCATCCTTATCATTTCAATAATATTGATTTTTTTATTATGACTACCGTTGTTGATATTATTATCACCATCTTTATAATCCCTTTTGCAATAAGACGTCTGGTGAGGCAGAAAGAGAGACCTCAATTCAAGTCCGTCACATTCGTCTTTGGAAGGCCTCTTCAATATTACAAGGCCTCATAAGGTTGTGAAAAACTCCACATACCTGTTGTGGATCCCACTTGGCAAGATCAAAGTTGTTTCAAGATGAAGCCGAGAAAAGAGAGTATTGTGACTTGCAATGGAAATATTGACGAGTCCCAGAATGATGGTGGTACGTATAGCATTCACAATATAAGTGAGATAAATTCTTGGCGCACTTGAAACACTACAGAATGTAACGTGACATAGCATGTTCGTGTTTTTTTAGAAATTTTACTACTCTCTCCTATCTCCTCCGTGACGTAGGCTCTACCCTCTGCCCCCACCCCTGGCTCTTTACCGACATTTTGGACAAAATGTTTGGTCCTAGATATAACAGCGGAGACTGATAACTTATCGTAGTTCAGGCGAAGATAAGTCTACATATTAAATAAACTAACTGGGTCAGAAGAAGAGGAGTCCAGTTTTTAATCATATTGATCAAAAATCGCCTTTTCATCTACCTGGGGTTGAGTTTAAAATGTTCTTTAAATCAAGTATCACTTCTGAAGTCTTTTAATGTATGGAGTACCATCTAGTTGCACAAAAGAAAGAAAGAAAAAGGAAATCACCGATCCCAGTAACCAATGCAGAAACTCTTTTGTATTTAGGCCAATTTAAATATATACCTGTACCCTTTACTGGAATCATAAGATTTAGGCAAACCATGGGAAATTGCTGGGAAATTGCTAGGAAATGGGTTTCGTGTCCTCCCGATTTCAGAAGTTGCGATTAGCAAAGTAATTCTGTTTCAGTAGAGTGTAGGTACACAACATCAAACGATCAACCATTCAATCCCTCAATCAAAAGTTTTAGCGCCTTTCATTTCAGCATATGAAATAGTACGCAATGCAATATCTGTGAAAGTAATGACCAAAGACCATATATTACCTGATCATTTAATTTCTGGATTACTGTTTTAACTTGTTCTATTCAGGAGCCTATACATTATGCTAATAATATTTTAATCCAAACGGAAAATAATAACCCATTAGGTTGCTTACATTAACCCTTTTATATAACTTACATGAATTAAGTCCCCTTCATATCCTCTTTACTGCTTCCTGCGAGACTGAATAAGTAGAAAGAAACAAGCACGCGAAGTAAATAACAGAGCAAAGTTCAATAAAAAAGAGAAATGCTTTCTTAAAAAGAACATTGTAGACAGTGTAAATAGTTTTACCTGCTGTAGACAGTGTGAAAAGTTTTACTTACTGTAGACAGTGTATATTGTTCAGTGTGATGCAATGAATATGTGAAGTTCATATATTTTGAACTGCGGTATTAGATACGTATGATGTGCGATCCTCGCAGTAGATAGCGCCATTTATGCAATAGCGAAAATCAGACCTGAAAAAAATCAGGCCTGTACGGGACTCGAACCACTGACCTCTGCGATACTAGTGCAGCGCTCTACCAATTGAGCTAACAAGCCAACTGGGAGCAGGCCGTTAAGTTGATTCGTAATAAACCCGTGAAAGTGATAAATGAGAT